AGTGTAAGACAACACAAACATTATACATTTTAATACGTCAACCATAAATGCTTTAATTAAATTATAAAAATATGTGCTGGCCAATAAATCACATCCTTACTTCTTTAACTGAATATTCTTGAAACTTATATAGTTCGTTTCGTTACTTTCCTATTAAGACTTACCGCCCCTTTCATCGCGCAAAACTTCAATGAATTAATTAGTATAAGTGTAAGACAACACAAACATTATACATTTTAATACGTCAACCATAAATGCTTTAATTAAATTATAAAAATATGTGCTGGCCAATAAATCACATGCGACGTTGAACCCAAAAATATTCTCGTGCAGTCGCGCCCGTACCGTAATCAGAAAACAATAAACAAATAAAATTACAATTAATTGGATTTTTACTACCCTTTTTGTTATTGTCACCTCTCCTGCGGGGCTGGAGCATTTAAATTTTCATAATAAAATGTTATTTATTGCATTTGCATAAACCGTGTGCGTGCGTGTGCGTGCAATTGAATCAACACCGAGCAGCAAAGTAGCCAAAGAACAAAAAGTTGAGAAAATAAAGAACATCGGCGACAACGCGACCGGCCAACAGCGGCAACAAAGCCGAAATCCTGGCAATAAAATGGCCAACAAACCGTTGGCAATAGCCAGCGGCTGCCACAATAAAAATCCCTTTTTGATTTATTCGCGGGCTGTCATATGGCCGAAGATCGAGTGGCATGAATGCGAATTAATCGCTTAATTGCTTTGCCAGCGGTACTAAGGGAATTTAAAACACGGCAGTTGATCAAGTAAATTAAGTGCGTGCCCAGATTAAGATATTCATATAGAAAGTGGATTTTAAGTGTGAAAACCACGGTCGCTGGAGCAATTTAATCCTACAGAGGACAGGCGTTGTGACAGCTTTTGCAAAATAATATTTTTAATTAGGCAGTTGACCCACTACATCCGGCAGCGCTGGCAGTATAAACAATTAATTAAATCAAATAATTACTTGGGATGTGTCCTGTTTATAGTTGCTATTTAAATAAACCTAAAAGAACTGAGCACTTTTAAAAATGTTGAATGCTACGTGACAAATTAACTTAATCAAAATGTCACACGATGTTGCTGTTATTATTAATATCTGCTATTTCACGAACAAGGCAGGCGTAATAAACGCGTCGAATACATATCAATTCATTTAATCTATACAGAGGAATGTCAACAATAATTTTTGTTCACAAAATGTACATTTATAATTTATAAAGTAGATAAGTAATTTAATTTATAACAAAAGTATTAAAATCTACTTCTATGCTATTATACACCCTTGATAAACCCAATGTGGCCAACACTATTTGCAGCAGGCTCTCCGCGGTAATGGCTAAGCAAGCGCCATCTGGTGCCCATCCCAGGACCTCTAAACCAGTGACATGGTTGTGCGTGGTTGCGTGGTGCACACTCTTCGGTGGTGCCACCTCCCAGCCCCTGTGACGGGGCTGACGCCCACCTGCCCCCTGATGGTGCATATGAAAAACCTTGTGGCTGATGGGAGGCTGCTGGATGCAGTGCATCATGTCATCGTACGGCCGACGCAAATGCAATTTAAAGCAAACAATTTTTTGAAATGACCTACATCCTGGACAGGCCGCGGCACACGCACACAGATAGCTGGAAAATGGAACCTGCTTTCACTGCACCGCACACAACATCATTAAAAATTAATTCACGCTCGATGTCCTGTGCCTGCTAAAAAATAAGGGAAGAGTAGAGCGAAGTGCAGTCCAACTGTGCCTGTACTGAGAAAAAAATATATTGCATTTTAATTTTACAAGTGTTTGCCAAAAATTAATTAACTCATTTTGTAATATCATAAATATACTTAATATACAAATATTAAATTAGTGTCCACAAAAAGTGCGCTAATGCACAGAAAGTAAAATTCTATTATTGTGCCCCTGTGAGTTTTTAATTAAGGTGGTGTTAGGTGATATCATATTACAGAGTATAAATATTTAAGGTCTACGAAGATTTTACAGTGGATAAAGGGGAACTAAACAACATCAGCAAATGAGTGCACACGTTTTGCGGTCGCCGTGCACTTTATAATGTTGGCCTGGCCAGGGAGCAGGATCCTGCAGGATCAGGTCCTGGCCCATTTCGTTTGGGGCGCCGCCTGATGACTTAATGAGCATAATAAGCTCAACGCCGAAATTACCTTTTTAAATGAACATGATGCCGCCCGTCTGCCGCCCAAACAGTCTAGTTTTAGCTGTGCGGAAAACAATCTAACACCCACACACACACACACACACAAAGGAACAGGCCCGCAGGACGAAACGGACACACAGGTGGGTAGTGTGCCAAATGGGGATTAAAAGTGGCATAGACAAGCGGTTACATATTCAAATTAAGTTTTTAATGTTCACACAAAAGGTGGCCATGCCAAAATAACCATTTTAAATGTATACAACTGTGGGTGGGTCCGGGAAATTCAGTGTGTTTGTGGGTATGTGTGTGTGTGGTGGGCTGGGGGCGTGGTAGTGGGTGTGCTTTAAGGGATGCCAAAGAAATGCAGGAGCAAATTAATTAATTCGCTATTTGATTGAGTTACAGTAGCTTACCGAAGTTGTATTTAGGTTTTGAAATGGGTAATGACGCTGTTAATGGCATTGATACGCAATAAGAGCATTGGTTAGGTTACTTTTTAATCTCTAATTCCTACTCCTTATAGAGTAGGAAAAAGCCAGTAGCCTAAATTTAACTTGAAACTATTTTTAAGGGCCAGCAACATTTTTGATGTAAAGCCGTTAATTTAATTCATTATGAATTGGAAGTATCAGTATAAGGTTAAAACTTATTAAGACTGGAACACTTCCAAGCCAATGAGGAGCAAGTTATACTGGAAAGGCTTAATATTCAAATACTCATAAAAATCAAGTAAGTAAGGCAAGTAAGAATCGCTTAAGCGTTGACCCAACAATCTTTCCCGAATTTATAGCCAGGCACATTGCGTATACCACACATACTCGTACATCGCACCACCATAATCAAATTAAAGCATAATTTTTTACGATGTCATAGTCATAAATATGAACGATGAAAAAATGTGCCCAAAACACGGAAAACATCGTAAAATAAGGGCAGCCAAGAGAGCAGCATGCAGGTCCTTGCAAGTGATTTCACATTTCAGCTAAGCGGCTTGGCGAGAAAAAATAAAATTAAATGTATAAATCATTTCAGCGATGATTTAAAATTGAATACGCATTCGTCAGCAATAAATCGCTGAAGCCAAAGGACGCAGTTTTCTGCAACTCAGTGGCTGTACTTGAAGCCAGGATCTCTCGGCTTCGAACTCAGTCACATATGCGCTTTTGCGCCTTTGGGGAAATTGCTACAATTCGTTTCATATTTCATGTGGCTTCGGTATTTGGGTTTTTGGTTTCCGCTTCTGTTTGTGAGAGCGCAGTTTCATCCATGAGTTATTATTGGCAAACGGGTATCCACCGAGGAGCCAGCAGAATTGCAATTGTTTGCAGCTGATTTGCATACTATATGTATTCAAAACTGAAACTGTTGCCTCACTTATTGCTCGGGGCTAAAATGGCTCACTTTTGGGCTAAGCGCCAGTAGTCGCGTCTTAGTAGCCCCACGAATAAGGCATACTTTACGGGGAGTTATGTCTATTCAATTAAATTAACTTGTGAAATTTGTGAAATGGGAAATGAGTCACCTATATGTTAGGTATATACTACCCTTAATGGGTAGTTTATGATCTTTTAAAAAGCTCCAGACGGGTGTTTTATTTATTTATTGCTTAATACCGTTGAAATATTTTTACTTACCGCACATTGCATTTCAAATGTGAGGCGATAGCTATTATAGTTATTATACTAGTTATTATGTTGAAAACACATTAACTATAGATATGCATTTAATTTAAATGTAATAGACTCTTCAATTTATTGTTCATTGTAATTACACCATGTAAATATTTTCCGGATTCGTACTACTGATTGTGGTATCAAAGGCAACGAAACTTAATTAACTGTTTACTTATTCTCAAGATAAAAACAATTCAATGGGCAACTTCCAGTATGGTTTTACAACACATTGCATTGTACTTATTTGTGATCTAACATACAATTTTGAGCGTACGCCCGTTTCAATAACTATTCACAAACACAGGTATCACATTTTCAAAGAAACTCGACGGCCTCAATATAATCTCAATGACTTTTAATCACCAATTAAAACTATCTGCATTCGCCTTTATGGTCAATGTTTGATAATGGGAATTAGCTCATCATTCATTTTGGTAACATTAAAAAAATACAACTCAATCTACTTGTTAGACTTAAAATTTCAATTATATAAAACATATAAAAATATCGTATAATTTTAGAACTAAGTAATGTTCAATAAAAAATAGCCTCTTTTGATTTAGTAGCAAACATTAAAGCTTTTTCTTAAATAACGCAATCGAATTGAATTTTCGGAACCATGTGCTCAAAACTGCATCGATCACCATCTTGTGCAATCTAATTTTCGTTGCATAAGCCTTTGAAAATTGGTCGCTGCTCTTGGTGTATGGTAATTTTACCCAAACATGCTCGCACCCCGTTTTGAGGTCCTTTCTTAATTTCGGATGAAACAATGCGCACGGGAAGATATTGCAGGATGTTCGGGATGGAGGATGCAAGGAAGAGGGCAAACCGTGTCGTTGAAACGAACGAGAATCGAATTTATGGTCTAACAAGCGCTGTCAAAATGTGAGAATTGAGTGCCTACGCCGAGGTCCTGGAGCTCCCAGGACGTGTCCTCCATTCCCTGGGCCCAGATGCTTGCTAGACATTTGCATCTCGCATATAAATCGCATTAGCAGCACGCAATTACTAGACCTCGACACATGGGCACACGAAATGCGGTTTGGGATGGTATTTCCTGGCACGTTGGTAGTTTCTGCCCCCGCTTGAATTTTGTACTTTGCAGATAAGAAATTATCAGAGACAATGTCATTAAGGGGTATGGCTTTAATTTACACTTCTTTATAAATAGTTCAGACCGTAATGACATTGACAGCGTATATCAATAAAACCGATCTAATCGCTTCAGTCAGTGGCTGATATAGGTATAAATATACTTGTATATACATATCACAATTGACTAGGTAAATAGTAGACCCGATTTAGGATCACAGCAAAATAGGGCACTTGTACATAATATTGATCTTGTCGATATCCTTGGAGCTAAGACCCACTCGCTGTCCAATTACCGCATTGGGATCCAGGGGAACTATGGTATCCTCGCCGTTGATGGAGAAGGCTCCTGGTCGATAATGCAGACAGCTGTCGTAGTCGTAGCCAACTTCGAAATCGGTGACGACTGTGTCGTCATACTTTTTGAAATTGAATTCCTTGCCCGGCACTATGTTTTCGTATACCACGTTTATGAAATCATCTCGAATGGCCGAGCTCTGTTGGTGATAGAATCCCAGGGCATGCATGAACTCATGCAGGATCGTTCCCGGCCGGAAACAGCCTTCGCCCAGCGGGTAAATTTCCAGATTCATTTCCTGTGGGGCACCTTGGTAGCCGACGGCTGTATAGCATCCTCCAGAATTGGCCGTAACCGTCAAGTAGGCCTTATCCTCATCGGTGGCTTCCCTAAACCTCAAACAAGTGTGCAGCTCCAAGGATTCGATGCCAGTTTGGATGGCCTTCTTGTGCGCGGTGTCAAAATCATCCGATATCCTGTAAACCACCACATTCCCAGGCCATCTCTTTTCGGTGTTGATGAGCCCATTGCGAGCCTTGGGACCACTCTGCTCAAGATTTCTCTGCTGCTCCTCCGTAAGAATCATATCACCCTCGACAAAACCACCTGCCTCCTCCGGATCGTAGACACCTGCTGGCAGGGGTTTGCCAGAGTTAAGTACTACTTGCAGCAGGAGCACAAATATTATTAAAGCCCTCGACATCTTGCCAGTTGGGTTCCACGAACTAGACTAATAAAGTGTCATGGGAGAACCTAAATATAAAACACGCAGGAAGGCTGGCCATACAACTTAGATTAGATACAATCAGGCAAAAACTTTTTCGCAAATTGATAATTACAATCGGAATGGACAATTTGATCAAGGTTTATAGTATATCTCCTTGTGTGTCGGTGCCCATGTGAAAAGGTTCTATTAGTCATGTCGGTTTACGATAAATGTCTTGCACATACGTCACGGGTTGTCTCTTGGATTGCCGCAATTCACAATGTAGAAATCGGAAATTCAAGTGGAGTAGTGATTGGATTCTTAAGTGCCCAACCAAAATACCAAAAACAATAATAACCAGGATAGACTATCAGATACCCATTACTCAGCTAGTGGAAGTGCAAACGAGAAATTTTAACATTTTTTGGAATATCGGTAGAAATTAGGAAAATTGGGAGAACAAAAATTTCTAATCTTGAATGCAGATTTTTAGAGAATTTTGCCAGAAACATTTAGAGGTGTGCCACTTCAAAATCCGATTAAGATAAGTTGAGTTATGGAGTTTAGAACTTCGGATATGGGACATTTCTTAGTTTCTTTGAATTTCTACAACATTATACATCAGAAAAATTACAAAAAAATGAAAAAAAAATAAATTTCTAAATTTGAATGCAGTTTTCTAGAGAATTGCGCCAGAAACATTTAGAGGTATGACACTTCAAAATCCGATTAAGATAAGTTGAGTTATGGAGTTTAGAACTTCGGATATGGGACATTTCTTAGTTTCTTTGAATTTCTACAACATTATACATCAGAAAAATTACAAAAAAATGAAAAAAAAATAAATTTCTAAATTTGAATGCAGTTTTTTAGAGAATTGCGCCAGAAACATTTAGAGGTATGCCACTTCAAAATCCGATTAAGATAAGTTGAGTTATGGAGTTTAGAACTTCGGATATGGGACATTTCTTAGTTTCTTTGAATTTCTACAACATTATACATCAGAAAAATTACAAAAAAATGAAAAAAAAAAAATTTCTAAATTTGAATGCAGTTTTTTAGAGAATTGCGCCAGAAACATTTAGAGGTATGACACTTCAAAATCCGATTAAGATAAGTTGAGTTATGGAGTTTAGAACTTCGGATATGGGACATTTCTTAGTTTCTTTGAATTTCTACAACATTATACATCAGAAAAATTACAAAAAAATGAAAAAAAAATAAATTTCTAAATTTGAATGCAGATTTTTAGAGAATTGCGCCAGAAACATTTAGAGGTATGCCACTTCAAAATCCGATTAAGATAAGTTGAGTTATGGAGTTTAGAACTTCGGATATGGGACATTTCTTAGTTTCTTTGAATTTCTACAACATTATACATCAAAAAAATTACAAAAAAATGAAAAAAAAATAAATTACTAAATTTGAATGCAGTTTTTTAGAGAATTGCGTCAGAAACATTTAGAGGTATGCCACTTAAAAATCCGATTAAGATAAGTTGAGTTATGGAGTTTAGAACTTCGGATTTGGGATATTTCTTAGTTTCTTTGAATTTCTACAACAATATACATCAAAAAAATTACAAAAAAATTCAATAAAAATAAATTTCTAAATTTGAATGCAGTTTTTTAGAGAATTGCGCCAGAAACATTTAGAGGTATGACACTTCAAAATCCGATTAAGATAAGTTGAGTTATGGAGTTTAGAACTTCGGATATGGGACATTTCTTAGTTTCTTTGAATTTCTACAACATTATACATCAGAAAAATTACAAAAAAATGAAAAAAAAATAAATTTCTAAATTTGAATACAGATTTTTAGAGAATTTTGCCAGAAACATTTAGAGGTGTGCCACTTCAAAATCCGATTAAGATAAGTTGAGTTATGGAGTTTAGAACTTCGGATATGGGACATTTCTTAGTTTCTTTGAATTTCTACAACATTATACATCAGAAAAATTACAAAAAAATGAAAAAAAAATAAATTTCTAAATTTGAATGCAGTTTTCTAGAGAATTGCGCCAGAAACATTTAGAGGTATGCCACTTCAAAATCCGATTAAGATAAGTTGAGTTATGGAGTTTAGAACTTCGGATATGGGACATTTCTTAATTTCTTTGAATTTCTACAACATTATACATCAGAAAAATTACAAAAAAATGAAAAAAAAATAAATTTCTAAATTTGAATGCAGTTTTTTAGAGAATTGCGCCAGAAACATTTAGAGGTATGCCACTTCAAAATCCGATTAAGATAAGTTGAGTTATGGAGTTTAGAACTTCGGATATGGGACATTTCTTAGTTTCTTTGAATTTCTACAACATTATACATCAGAAAAATTACAAAAAAATGAAAAAAAAAAAAATTTCTAAATTTGAATGCAGTTTTTTAGAGAATTGCGCCAGAAACATTTAGAGGTATGACACTTCAAAATCCGATTAAGATAAGTTTAGTTATGGAGTTTAGAACTTCGGATATGGGACATTTCTTAGTTTCTTTGAATTTCTACAACATTATACATCAGAAAAATTACAAAAAAATGAAAAAAAAATAAATTTCTAAATTTGAATGCAGATTTTTAGAGAATTGCGCCAGAAACATTTAGAGGTATGCCACTTCAAAATCCGATTAAGATAAGTTGAGTTATGGAGTTTAGAACTTCGGATATGGGACATTTCTTAGTTTCTTTGAATTTCTACAACATTATACATCAGAAAAATTACAAAAAAATGAAAAAAAAATAAATTACTAAATTTGAATGCAGTTTTTTAGAGAATTGCGTCAGAAACATTTAGAGGTATGCCACTTAAAAATCCGATTAAGATAAGTTGAGTTATGGAGTTTAGAACTTCGGATTTGGGATATTTCTTAGTTTCTTTGAATTTCTACAACAATATACAACAAAAAAATTACAAAAAAATTCAATAAAAATAAATTTCTAAGTTTGAATGCAGTTTTTTAGAGAATTGCGCCAGAAACATTTAGAGGTATGACACTTCAAAATCCGATTAAGATAAGTTGAGTTACGGAGTTTAGAACTTCGGATATGGGACATTTCTTAGTTTCTTTGAATTTCTACAACATTATACATCAGAAAAATTACAAAAAAATGAAAAAAAAATAAATTTCTAAATTTGAATGCAGATTTTTAGAGAATTGCGCCAGAAACATTTAGAGGTATGCCACTTCAAAATCCGATTAAGATAAGTTGAGTTATGGAGTTTAGAACTTCGGATATGGGACATTTCTTAGTTTCTTTGAATTTCTACATTAACATCAGAAAAATTACAAAAAAATGAAACAAAAATAAATTTCTAAATTTGAATGCAGATTTTTAGAGAATTGCGCCAGAAACATTTAGAGGCATGCCACTTCAAAATCCGATTAAGATAAGTTGAGTTATGGAGTTTAGAACTTCGGATATGGGACATTTCTTAGTTTCTTTGAATTTCTACAACAATATACATCAGAAAAATTACAAAAAAATGAAAAAAAAATAAATTTCTAAATTTGAATGCAGTTTTTTAGAGAATTGCGCCAGAAACATTTAGAGGTATGCCACTTCAAAATCCGATTAAGATAAGTTGCGTTATGGAGTTTAGAACTTCGGATATGGGACATTTCTTAGTTTCTTTGAATTTCTACATTATACATCAGAAAAATTACAAAAAAATGAAAAAAAAATAAATTTCTAAATTTGAATGCAGATTTTTAGAGAATTGCGCCAGAAACATTTAGAGGTATGCCACTTCAAAATCCGATTAAGATAAGTTGAGTTATGGAGTTTAGAACTTCGGATATGGGACATTTCTTAGTTTCTTTGAATTTCTACAACATTATACATCAAAAAAATTACAAAAAAATGAAAAAAAAATAAATTTCTAAATTTGAATGCAGATTTTTAGAGAATTGCGCCAGAAACATTTAGAGGTATGCCACTTCAAAATCCGATTAAGATAAGTTGAGTTATGGAGTTTAGAACTTCGGATATGGGGCATTTCTTAGTTTCTTTGAATTTCTACAACATTATACATCAGAAAAATTACAAAAAAATGAAAAAAAAAAATAAATTTCTAAATTTGAATGCAGTTTTTTAGAGAATTGCGCCAGAAACATTTAGAGGTATGCCATTTCAAAATCCGATTAAGATAAGTTGAGTTATGGAGTTTAGAACTTCGGATATGGGACATTTCTTAGTTTCTTTGAATTTCTACAACATTATACATCAGAAAAATTACAAAAAAATGAAAAAAAAATAAATTTCTAAATTTGAATGCAGTTTTTAGAGAATTGCGCCAGAAACATTTAGAGGTATGCCACTTCAAAATCCGATTTAGATAAGTTGAGTTATGGAGCTTAGAACTTCAGCCTTAGGACATTTTTCAATTCTTTTGAATTTCTACAACTTCATACATCAGAAAAATTACAAAAAAAAAATAAATTTCTAAACTCAAAAGCAGATTTTTAGAGGATTTCACCAGAAACATTTAGAGGTATGCGCTGCGTCTAAGTCTCTGGAAGCTGCGTGCTTAATCTCAACATTCTAGCTTTTGTAGTTCCTGATATCGAGGAGACGGACATACAGACGGACATGGCCAGATCGTCTCGGCTATTGATCCTGATCAAGAATATATATACTTTATATGGTCGGAAACGTTTCCTTCTGTCTGTTACATACTATTCAACGAATCGAGTATTCCCTTTTACTCTACGTGTAACGGGTATAATAATTTAAACCACTGCTACCACAGTATGAGTACTTCCCTGAAAAATCATTTGATTACTGATTCTTGCTCAACAACCACGACAAGCGTAATCGTTGTGCTAAATACAGAGTTCGCTGCCTAAAAGGTGTTCAAATTCAAAACCTTATCGCAATACACAGTTCTCCTCGATTCTACACACCGGGAACTACGTGATAAGCTTTGAAGGCAATGAACGTGACAATCAATGGGTTCTCAATTGCATGTTTAACAGGAAAGAGACTAATATTAAAGTCAACGCTCTTTAAAAATTATAAACAATTTACCACCACCACATAATAATATATTTAACTAGAGTTAATTAAAAAAAACTCTCGTCAATTACCAGAATTCCTATAGTTTATTCCTAATTTCCGAATAGTATAAAATTAAAAAAAAAAGGAAAAAATTAAAAATTTAAAGTTTAATTCAAATATATTTTGCCTAAACATAACCAGGGCATCTATACATTTTGTTCAACTTGCGAATATCCTTTTCGCTCATATACAGTCGTTGACCGATATTTGCAGGCCCATCCTGAAGGGGCACAATTGTGGGTTGGCCATTCTTGGAAAAGGCCTTAGGTACATAGTGCATAACACTTTCAAAATCGTAGCCTTCGTGAAAGTCGTGCCACGCAGTAGAATTATCGTTGTTAAAGAAATTGATATTGTACACCGGATTTATATTTTCCCACTGGATGCTGACATACTGGTCTCGATTATGGGCCACATGCTGATGCTCGAAGCCCAGGACGTGAAGAAGTTCATGGATAATGGAACCGATGCGAAAGCAGCCCACGCCAAGTGGGAAAATCTGAAGATTCACCAATTGTGTCTTATTCCTGTAGCCTAAGAAAGCGGAATTGCAGCCAATGCCTTTGGACGTAATGACGAGCCTAGGAAAATCGGTTTCAGTAGCTGGCTGGAAAATAACACACGAATTTGCCTCTATGATGGAAATGGCTCTGAGAATTTCCTGATGATGACTGTCGTCTTCAATATTTTTGTCAGGATGGGTCAGATCTTATTTGATATATGTACATAACATACCAAATTCATTTGTTTCAATCATATATTGTACAGTGCGATTAGGCCAGTGATAAATTTGATTGACGATTCCGTTTCGAGATCGAAATGGATAAGCTTTGATGTCCCCCTGATAAAATCCTGCCAACAGCTCCGGATCATTTAAAAGTTCATTAAAAACAGTAGGTGCGAACAGAAAAATTACAGCCAATGTCCGCGCAAACATGATGGGGATTGGACACAAACTGAACGCTTCATTAACCCATGCCAGTTTTACTGTATAGCATGACTAGTCTAGTGGGTATATTTCAATTTAATTCGACATGCGTGTCGAGAACGGGAGCAATTACATTAGCCAAAATTTTAACTAAACGTTTATAGTAGATCGCGTCCAAAAGATACTAGATACTATTCTATTATAAAGAGTAAAAGTTATATAATCTCACTGTACATAACAAATGTATACAAAAAAATTTCAATTTTAATAGAACATAGGATTATGACATAATGCATATTCTAAAATACGCATTCTTGGGCTACCCAGATGACGTCGTATAGGGCATGCAGTACGTCTATACGTATAGAGAAGTCATATCCCACACAGTCCTGTCGCATATGACTTATTCGCTGGAACTACATTTTTTGCTGGCCTTTACTAATATTTACTTTGTATTTTTATTTAATGCCCAAAAGAGGAATTTTACAAATGTACACAAATTATTTGCATACTTTCAGTTGTCGAAACTCAAATGGTATCTTTGAAATTTATTCTGGAAGCTTTGAAAACTTCTGGAAACCGACTTCAAAGGATTTAATTACATAGAAGGTTCAATTTTTTATAATGTCTTAGTATTTAAACAAGAAAGAACTCTAAAATCGAGATCTGCTATTATCAGATACCCGTTACTTAGCTGGTGGAAGTGCGAACAGACAAAAGTCAGATCGACACGGCTAGTGATCCTGATCAAGAATACCTTATAGGGTCTGAAATGTGTATACTGGTATACACTTTTACTCGTGTAATAAGGCGTAGAAAATGAAAAACGAATAAAATTGGATTAAGACATCTACATTTGCTTTATGAACTCTTTTTACGTATTACACCTGTCGGGGGCACTTGTACATTACGTTCAGTTTGTTTATATCGGACTGGGTCATTTGCAATCGCTGTCCCATAAGTTCTTCGGCACCTTCTTGCAGCGGCACAATGGTCATCTCTCCGTTCTTCGAGAACGCATAGGCCGTGTAGTGCAGTACGCTTGAGTAATCATAGGGTTCTCCGTAGTCCTCAACGGTTTCGTTGCTGTACTTGCTGAAGTTGCCTTCAGTGCCCTCAGTTATGTTTTCCTCAGCAATTCGGACGTAGTCATCGCGATTCCATGTGCTTTGCTGGTGATAGAAGCCAAGGGCATGCAGGAACTCGTGGACAATTGTTCCCAGACGGAAGCAGCCGGTGTCCAGTGCGTAGTTCTGCAGATTCAGCTGCTGAACCCGGTTGCGATAGCCCACATATGAGAAACAGCCTCCAGCCTCTGAGGTAACATTCACATAATACTTCTGATCAGTGGTGGCCTCCTTGAAAACCAAGCAGGAACTTTGCTCTATTATGCGAATTCCCCTTAGAATATGGTTGCGATGCTCGGTGTCTGAATAAAAATTGTTATGAAGTTAGGTATTATTACATTCCGATTGCCCTACCAATATCGCGATTTATGTAATAATAGACAACGCGGTTTGGCCATCTGTAGTTTTCGTTGCGAAGTCCGTTCCTTCCCTCCGGACTAGGGACCATGTCCCCTTCCATATAGCCAGCTGTCAACTCAGGATCGGTTTCTATCCTGTGTTGGGAGGCGGGAGCTGCCGAGCAGGAGCTGGCCAGGAATATGACCACTAATGTTAAGGCCCAGGTCCTCATGTCGATGGCTCTGCGATCAGCAAGTTACTGTTTGAGGCGCCTAGCTTTGGCGACAACGAGGTATAGTGCTATTGGATAATTTATGACAATTGCCTCAGTAAAGCTTTTATGATCAGACGAATTGCTCACTGGTCAGCGCTATAATGTTATCTAATCGGTGATTACTGCGTGCAAATGAATAATCTCGTATACGTAATCATAATTAATGATTTCGAATGGAATTCCCAGAGACCATAAGATAAGATCTAAATTTATTTTAATAACAACTATTTAGCTATATCCATGTTAAGCAATTATAATCACAAATTATGTTCTAATTTATATTGCCATAAAAGGATATACTACACAGTTTGTAGAAGAAAGCGTCTCTTGATAATTTTAATGAATAAAATATTTAATCTTCTCAACCGTAATTTATCTTCATTTAATGGTGAGAATTTGCAAACTCCTATCTTACACAGCACACTTGTCACATTTGTTCGATTCCCATATAACAAAGGCCAACCAACCACATCCTCACCAATTTCATCTTGCAACACCCCAAGTTTCAATCAAAATTACAACGCCTTCCCACCCCAAAATATATAAAATCAGTGTCAAAATTAATCCGGAAGCAAATGACAGCGACGAACATTCTCCTAATTGCATTTGTCAACGCAAAAAAGAGATTATATTTTTCGCGAGAAAAGGTGACAATAATGAAATGAAATTTATCATCATTATATTGCACAAGCCTGTGAAGGTAGGACAAAAATAACTCATTCTCTGACGAAGGGGCATTTGTACATGGCATTTAGCTTTCTGATGTCGGTGTCACTCAGCTCCAGCCTTTGGCCAATTACATCTTCCTTCCCTTCCTCCAAAGCCACTATTGTCCTCTCGCCGTTCTTGGAAAATGCATAGGAACCATAGTGCATTACACTGCCATAGTCGTATTTTTCACCAAAATCGTTGACGGTTTCCTCGGTATATTTATCAAAGTTAAACTCCATCCCTTCGGTGATATTCTCCTCCACAATTTGCACATAATCATCCCGATCGGCGGCACTCTGCTGGTGGAAAAATCCAAGGGCATGGAGAAACTCATGCACAATCGTATATAATCGGAAACAACCGACACCTATTTCGTTATCCTGGAGATTCAGTTGTTGAACACGGTTCAGATAACCGATATAGGAGAAACAACCGCCCTCCTCGGAGGTCACATTTACATAATACTTCTGATCAGTGGTGGCCTCTTTGAAGGTCAGGCAGGAAATGGATTCAATTTTCTGAATAGCGCTCACGATGTGGTTACGATGTTCTTCATCTTTTGGGATAAATTATAATAGGCTAAAATATACGAGTATATGCTAATCAATGCTCACCAATATAGCTATTAATATGATAATAAACAATGCGATTGGGCCATCTATAGGTTTCATTGCGCCAAATATTTTTCGAGGATCCACTGGGCACCATATCACCCTCAACATATCCTGCTGTCAGCTCCGGATCTGTTTCCGTCCGTACAGATGGGGCTGCCCAGGCGACGTTGATTACAATCAGAAGTAGAAATAATATGCTGTAATAATACATATTGGTTGCTGAACTTCCCATTCAATACTGTATGGCCAGTATAATGCACGAGCATTGGTCAAGTACGCAGCTGCAGTTAATCTTTAAAATTTATGATCTTTAAATAAGTAGTGCCGATTTGAAATGATATCTAATCATTGGTAGGAATGTCGCAGAGGTAAGTAATTAAGTTTCTAATCTGGTGCGATTAAAATAAAAATATTGAATTTTACTATTTCGGCGTAATTTACAAATTTAATTTTACAGAATTCAATATTACGTTCTTGGAGAAAATTGTGTAATTTATTGTAGAATTTTCGAGGCGCAGGCCGTCTTTTATTTAGAGTGTATATCTGTACTGGAAATGTATAAAAGCCTCTTGCTCTTAGCAATGGAATATCAGTTCTGCAATGCATTACCTTGCACTCGCTGTGTTTTTTGCACTTGGGTCTCAGGCCAACGGCCGCCATTCCATTAAAACTCAGGAAGACGACATCATACTGATACCAGAACAACTACAATATTTTGAAGGGAATCCAGAAGGTCGTATAGTGAAATCTTGGTCAGAATATTACTGGAAGGGAAGCACCTTGGTCTACAGCTTTGCCGGAGGATTTTGTAAGTAAAAACTGTTTTTCTAAGAAGTCCTTAAACACGTATATCCTAACCTTGAACATAGCTTCCTCAGAGCTCGCTCATATTAAAAGTGCCATGGCGGAAATATCATCCAAAACCTGTGTGAGATTTCGCCAAACAGAAAGCAGGAGAGAGCCACAAGTAGTAATACAAAGGGAGGGTCCAGGATGCTGGTCGTATGTGGGATATTTGGGAAGAACAGCCCAGGCCCTCAATCTAGCCAGCAATTGTATGAGCGGTAAAACTATTCAACATGAACTACTTCACGCCCTGGGCTTCTATCACACACACAGCGATCCGCAACGGGATAAATATGTGAGGATCCAAACGGAACACATCAGATCCGGTCATGAGCATAACTTTCAAAAGCTTCGGGCCAATGAAGTGACAAATTATGGCCTTGGCTACGACTACGACAGCATCATGCACTACGGCCCATTTGCGTTCTCCAAGAATGGAAAGCCGACAATTGTTCCCCTCAAATCGGATGAAAAAATCGGCCAGGCAACGCAAATGAGTCCCAGGGATGTGCAAACACTAAAACGCATGTACTGCTAATTTGATTATCTTTAGATAGATAACACAACACACTGGTTGTCTGTAAAATAAAGAAAATAATGTTAATCGTAATTAAAGCGCTTGACTCGCCTCATAACTATATGGCCTTTAACAGTAAGACAAAAAAAAAACAATGTAATGGTGTTAATTTCATATACATAGCCAGACTACACCCTTTTCGAAGTAATCGCAACATTTGCAATTCTAACGAGCTCTTGCACTTGACAGGAAACTGTCTCCCGCCCCGCAAAACTTCATCCACAAACCGGTTAATCTGCAAAACAAAAAGCCCCGGCCAACGTAGAGGAAGTGTTTGCCTTTGCCAGCAACTAAAAATTGAATATTTAGTGGTCGTAATTAAAAATTAGCGCGCCAGGCAACTAACCATGCTACCGCGCACCTACAGCTACCTACTAGCTGAGTCCTTCCGTGTAATCCCAGGACCAACTATCTGCGTAGACCGTCCGTACTCTCGGCTCTCTATCTCTCTCACACAAGGACTGGCATATACATATATTTGGGTTTTTAATGGCACAAATTGTAGTAAAGCCAAAGCTCCTCCAGAGCCCCCAGCCCACAAAACGGAAGTCGTAAACATTTAATTTATGCAAGCAGTGCATTCGCTTTTTTAGTTGCAACTAAAGATGGGCTAACGTCATCCAGTATGGAATAGGTGGCTTAGTTTTTGTGTAGCTGGCGGTTTTATCAACGTTTAAGGGTGTTGCCTTGGCGACAGGACATTTTAAATGTATACCTACCTCAAGAGATACATTTACGAGGGTGTTAAAGCTTATAAACATAACAAATTTTAGTAACTTATCTCTTAAAATCTTAGCTGTTCTGCTTTAAAGCTATTGGCGATGATCATCCTTAGACTAAAACAGTTGCCCTCAAATCAATGAAAATCATAGTTTTTGACTGCCCTGCAACCCTCAGCACATTTGAATATGTTTTTTATAAAATGTTATCACGGGCCAACGCGATTACAACGCTCTCAAGTCATAATGTCTTGGGAATTTCCAGCTTTTTATTTTGAGAAAATATTGCTGGCATAATAAAGAGAATTTAATGGGTTAAGGCGGCCACTAGGACGCCTGGCCATCAACTTTTCGCCAAGAGCTGTAAAAAAGTCAGCAGGCTGGAGCTCGGCTTTCTTTTCGCTTTCTTTTCCCGGGCTCTTTGTGTTGTGTTTGGCCCCTCGCTCTTCTTGCGATCGTTCTAATTTTATGACATTCTATTTTCATGCATAGCGAACGAGACGCATGTGTGGGTGATTCGGGGGCGTGGCAGGGGCTTTGGAGGCGGGCGAGTGCAGCCATAGCCATTTCATAGTCAGACATGAATGCTGCGCTTTGTTGCCCTGCTACGCCTTTGTTTGTATTGCCCTCAGGGGTAAAGTTTTTAGGATAATAACTTCCTGCGACTTTACGAGCCAAGGCAAAAGCCAAAAACCCACCAGCAGCACCGGCAACTAAAGGGAAATGAGAATACTTAAGCAGAGTACACTGCTATAAAGATTACTGCTACTTAGCGGGCAGCAATTGGGAAAACTTGTAGCTTCAGGTTACTTTAACTAATTTTTAGGTATGTTTTTGAAACGTCTTTGAGTAACTGAGAGGAAATATTTCAAATATTCAGCACAAGAATGTTATAAACAACAAATAGATTTACAATTAGCGTAGTTAGGTAGTTCTCATTTTATTTGGTATAAATATTATTTTATACTTCGCAGTTCCAGAAGAGCGAACTTAAAGGACTCCTTCTGTTAAAAGTGCTCATCATTTTTTAGCAGTGCTGCAGAGGAACTGCATATGAACAACGTGGCGAAGGCAAGCCCTGAAAAATATCTCAAGACCTCCACTTAAAGCAGCCAGCGAGTAAAAGCAAAAGCAAATGCCAACACATCAGCGGTGCTAAGGGTGGATGAGCTGGCAGACCGCAGAAACTTTTGACGCTGTCGACAGGCGGGAAAGCCTGCGGAAAAGTCCTGGCAAACTAACGTTTTCCAAGCCAAATTTGGATATTTAAAGAAGAGAAAATATGGAAAATATGCCCCATTTTGAACTGGTGTGCATACCAACAGTGGGTTCCTGAAATATAAGTACTTAGTACTTATCATTCTAATCAGATTAGTTATAAACACAAAAAAAATTTTCTTAAATTAAATTTATTATTTTTTATTTTTTCATTGAAATTTCCTTAAGTGCTGTTTATGGTGGCAACGTTGGCTAACACCGCTGAGAAATAAGACGGTGTGTAAAAGGGTGGGAGTTGGCGTTGCGGTGGCATATTAAAGACAGACAGCTGTAGT